TGAGGGCACTTGTGAAAGACCTAAGGGTTCAGGAGTTAAATGCACAGCTCCAGGCAGGCTTTGCCTGCTGGGCTCCTCTGAAGACAGACGTTGGATGCTCCATTCTGCCACTGAGCTGTAAAACGGCAACAGGAAAATGCTACTGCCAGGCCTACAAGCGGAATTTTATGAAGAAATGTGCCACTGTCAAACATACACAGCGGGAAGTGTTTGTTACCAAACAACTGTGTTTGGGAAGTGGTAACTGCTTGCCAGTTAATGGTTCCACATTAGTCGGCAACAGCATGGAGTTGTGTCCCCCAGAACTGTGGACGAGCTGCTGCCAGCATAGCTGACACCCCAAGCCTGAGTGGAACCACACCTAGTCCCCAGAACAGCACCTCTCAGAAAAGAAGGCAGGTCTTGTTCAGGATTTCAGTGGAGCTAGGTGTTAACAACCCTCATTCAAGTTGGTGGTGGCAACGAGTGGGCAGCAAAGGTCTCTGGCTGAAGCAAACACAGGGGCCAGGGGGAACCACCCCAGGGGCACAGTCAGAGTCTAGGGTGTGCTCATCGAACTGGAGGCCACCTGAGGCACACCTGGCACCCACACAGAGCTGCCTCCCGGAAGCAAGGTTGTGGGTAGGAAGCATCTGCTGCTTAAGGGATCTCTCTTGGGATCAAGACCAGCCCTCCATTTCTGAAAACCAAGTACACCCAACCTGGGAACGCAGCAGACAGAAGAGTGTGACATTTGTGAGGAATTGTCTGAGGATATTGATGTCAATGGTGTAGATAGCCCAAGGCAGCCTGGAGATGGCTGTGGAAGGCTGGGTTAACTGGGTCCACTCACCCCATGGACTGTCAGAGAATGATCAAAATGACATGGGGACATTCATGGAAAGAGCAAAATGGCAAACCATGAGTGTGGCCTGTGTGTGGGAGACAGGGGAGCAACTGGGCCCTGGGTGAGGCTGCCTGGGGTTGATGCCTGGCTATGTCACTCAGCTCTGTGTGACCCTGAGCCCAGATTCCAGGACGCAAAGTGAAGGAGACATGATCCCTACCTCTGGGACCTGAAGTGCCTGTACCTTGAAAGCACACAATCAGTGGTGCATGTGCACCCTGTTGAACTGGGAAGAAATACAGGTTGGGCATCCCAAATCCAAATATACAAAGTCCAAGATGCTCTAAAATCTGAAACTTTTTGAGTGCTGACATAATGCTTGAAGGAAATACTTATTGGAGCATTTTGGATTTCAGATTGTTTGACTTAGGAATGGCTCAACTGGGTAAGTATATTGCAAATACTCCCAAATCTGAAAAAAGCCAAAATTGAAAACACTTCTGATTCCAAGCATTTCATATAGAGGATACTGACCTGTACCAGACCCCACATAGCTTTTGTTTTAACGTGGCAGACTTGTGGTTCTCACCCTGTTAACTTTTCTCTAACTTTGACATAAATACTGTTTTCTACTGATAAGAAACTCATCAAGAGAGGAGCACGTTGTAATCCTAGCACTTTGTGCCTAGCACTATGCTAAGTACTTATGTGTATCGGCTCCTTCCAGCTCAAAATAAAGCCACCGAGTGGGGAAGTGGAGGCTGGGGGGCAGGTGCCTGCTTAACTCTCCTCCCACCCAATCCTGCATCTTCTACCTCTACAGATGCTCATCCCTAATAAACATTTTGTACCCCAAATCCCATCTCAGCATCTGTCTCTGGAGAAGGGTCCCTGCAACAGCATAAGGAAAAGGTCTGAGCTCAGCACCGGGGAACTGGGTCCTGGTGAGAACTGACCACAGCTGGAGAAGGCTGCAGGCTGCTTAGAAAGGAGCATCTGAACAGGGAGACATACAAAGTGGACAGGACCACGGATGCTAGTGACCGTCCCACTGAGACATATGAGGGCTCTTGCAGTGGGCTCTGCTGCTACCAGAGGAGGGAGAAAGTGCCCAAAGTAATGGTGGGCCCAGCAGGTGAGTGTTGGGGGACAAGAAAGTATCATTCATTGCCCCTCAGGCTCAAAGACTGCTTCAGCGGTGAGGACATGCAATCCTGGTTGGGGTTTATTAAAATCAAGGTCCGCAGGCAGCCTAGAGGCCATTATTCTAAGTGAATTAACAGAAATAGAAAACCAAATACGCACGTTCGTACTTATAAGTGAGAGCTAAACACTGGGTACACACAGGCATAAGGATGAGGACAACAGACACTGGAGATTCCTAAAGGGGGAAGGGAAGGAGGATGATAAGGATTGAAAAATGCTGGGTGCAGTGGCTCACGCCTATAATCCTAGCACTTTGGGAGGCAGAGGTGAGAGGACTGCTTGAGTTCAGGGGTTCAAAACCAGTCTGGGCAACTTGGAGAGACTTTACCTCTACAATAAATCAAAAAATTAGCTGGGCATGGTGGTGTGCACCTGTGGTTCCAGCTACTTGGAAGTCCGAGGTGGAAGGATTGCCTGTGCCTTGCAGGTCAAGGCTGTGGTGGCTGCAAGTGTGCCACTGTACTCCAGCCAAACAGCTGTGTTTGGGAAGTGGTAACTGCTTGCCAGTTAATGGTTCCGCATTAGTCAGCGACAGCATGGAGTTGTGTCCCCCAGATCTGTGGACAACCCAGCCTGGGTGACAGTGAGGCGACGACTCAAAAAAAAAAAAGGACTGAAAAACAACCTATGTCGGGTGCAGTGGCTCATACCTATAATCCTAGCACTTTGGGAGGCCGAGGTGAGAGGATTGCCTGAGCGCACGGGTTTGAGACCAGCCTGGGCAACTTGGTGACACCTCATCTCTACAATAAATCAAAAAATTAGCCGGGCATGGTGGCATGTGCCTATAGTTCCAGCTACTTGGAAGGCTGAGGCAAAAAGATCGCCTGAGCCTAGCAGGTCGAGGCTGCAGTGGCTGTGAGCGTGCCACTGCACTCCAGCCTGGGCAACAGAGTGAGATTCCAACTCAAAAAAAAAAAAGAAAAGCAATCTATTGGGTGCCATGCTTACTACTTGGGTGATGTGCTCAATAGAAGCCCAAACCTTACCATCATGCAACAAACAATCTAAAATAAAATAAAATTGAGCCAGGTGCAATAGCTCGCACCTGTAATTCTAGCACTTTGGGAGGCCAAGGCAGGAGACTTGCTTGAGCACAAGAGTTTGAGATACCTCACCTCGAATGAGACCTAATCTCTACAAAAAATAAAAAAATTAGTTGGGTGTAGTGGTACATATCTGGAGTCCCAGCTGCTTGGGATTGAGTACCTGAGGGAGGCTGAGGCAGAAGGATCTTAGGCCTAAGCCCAGGAGTTTGAGGCTGCAGCGGATCATGATCGTACCAGTGCTGTCTAGCCTGGATGACAGAGTGAGACCCTGACTCAAAAATGGTAAAATAAAATAAAATAAGAAATTTAGATACATCATAAGACAAAAGTATTGTAAGTATTCTGGCACTCCATTGGCTCAATTCCATGAAAAAAATAATGATACAAACTACCAACGAGAAAAATAAAAAATAAAATAAAATAAAACCCAGGTCTAGGACCATTGCCAAGTGCAGGCTGGGCATGCATGGTGCCAGCAGCAGCAACAGGCAGCAGGAAAATCACACCTCACCTTGAAAAAGATCAGGCTCCTGATGAGCTCTCCTCCGTCCCTAGACCTGCTCCGCCTGCTCCACTCTGAGGAAACTAACCAAGCCACAGGAGCATGCTAGTCACTGCCAGGACAGGACACTTTTCGGACCCCAGTGCCGAATCCCCCAAACAGAATTCTGTGAAGTAACATCTGCCTGAACACAGCCAATGCCAAGCCAGGGCCCATCTCTCCAGTCACCTGCCCTTTCTGGTTCTTCAAACATCCTACAGAAGAGGGTGGGGGACAGGCAGTAGGGAAGACCTGACTACATCTCACAGCTAGACCCCAAAGGCCACCCCTGCTCACCTTGCACCTCTGACCCTCTTTGATCCCTGCTCACACCAATGCTGGCCTAGAACGTCCACTTTCCTGGGCTGCTTGCCCCAGCTGGACGCTCTCCCTGTCCTCCAGCCCACTGTTGTACCTCACTCACCCTACAGGCCTAGTTTAGCATAAACGGTGTCTTCAAGGAGCCACAGCAGTACTCCCACCCCTCCTGCACTCTATTGTTGTCTCTGTAGTATTGGTCACAATGAGACTTGCTGTGAGTTTGCTCATTTGCATGTTCTTTAATCTGCCTACCTTTTAGATCGTAGCTCCATGGGGCAGGTGCCACAACCAGGGTGCTGTCTCCCCAGTACCTCCTGGGTGAGGAAAGACTGAAGGAAAAGAAAGTCACCCCTGTTTCTGACCCTGCCCAGGCCACACTCCTTCCACAAAGCTAAATGCCAGCAGAAGAAGTCTGGTTGGGAAGGCCCTGAAAGTGCTTAGGCCTGGGCCACAGCTGTTAAGAATCACTACATGATCTGCTTTCCAAAAAGAGCTGGAGGAGGCTGTCAGTATACAACCCCCATAAAGCACAGACTGTGAAGATGGTCCCAGGGGTAGGGTGTGGCAAGGAGGCCTCTGTAAAATGCAGCCGGAGGGATGGGACCCAGGGCAAGCAAGGTCAGGCAGGGCCCCAGGGCACTTGGAGGATGGCAGGCCCATGCTGGGCTGCTGAGAAGATGGATGAATGGCAGGGGTGAGGAAGCCCGGCACTGGAGTGTGCGTCACCGCATGGCCTTCACAGGGGAGAGTAGCTGAGACTGTGGTTTCTCATCTCCCAACCCATAGTCTGTCTCTGAGCCCATGAGGCCCCCACACCAGCTCTTCCCTCCATTCCTGGCTGTGACCCTGGGCCCTTGCCACCTCTCTCCTGGCAAACTGGCCCCCTCCTTGGGCTGGCCTCGCCTCCCACAGCCCTCCTCACCATCCCTCTGTCTCGCTCCGCCCTTGATGCTCCAATCTGTCTTGGTTCTGCCCACCAACCTTTCAAGCTGCCTGCCTGTCCTGGGAAGACGATCCAAGCCCTCTCCCAGCCAGCATGGCCGGGTAGCCCACTCACCCGGTGGGTTTTGCTGTAGGAGTAGAGGAAGGCCAGCCGGTAGAGACTCTTATAGTGCTGGGGGAAGCGGCTCAGGCACAGGCGGAAGGAGGCGATGCACTGCTCCGTGAGGAACTGTCGCTGTTCCTCGGCGCCGGCTGGCAGACCCTGGGGAAAGGTCATTGGTTCCCCCAGGGGATCCCCTTTCTTTCTCCCATCCCACAGGGTGGGTGTGGGTGCTGGAGGCTTGACAGGGATGCAAGCAGAGGCTGGGGGTTCTGCAGCAGGCTTCTGGCCACCTTGTTCTGTGGCCCGGAAGACTTCTGTACTCTCCAAGGACTCCTCAGTTTTTCCTACTGTTGATAAGTAAAACAAAGTCACCTAGTTTTAGGCCCTGCCCATATAACGGTTCACATCTTGTGATAGAGGTGTCATGGTGAGGTGACTGACAAGGCTGGGTCTGCCCTTGCTGGATGAGTGCTGGGCCCAGCAGTGGGAGGCACAGGGAAAAGTTCAGGTTCTGCCCCCACCGAGGTATACCACTCTGTGAAGCAGGCTGTCCTAGCTGACACAAAGCAGAGGGGCCAGGGGCTACAGAGAAGAGGGTTACGAGCTGGGCCCTGGGTCTTTTTCTCTGAATGGTAGCATAGGCTATCCCACCTCCAGGGCTGGTGCAAGTGAAAGTAGCCTACAAAAGATAGGTGTCATCACCACCATCTTCAAATAAAACAGCCAGGAAATGGCTCACAGAGTGCCACCCCTGCTCCATTGCTCAGTGTTCATCCCACAGTTGGCCCGACATCCCTCTCCAGGAAAATTGCTGCTACATGTGAGCCAAGTATGCACACACAGGCCTCCTCTTGATGTGGTCCCAGCTCCTCAACACCCAGCCCTGTTCCATCAGGGACCATGCAGCTGGACAGTAGGGGCTACAGGGATGGCTCCAGAATAATGATAGCAGGTGACCTTAGTCTAGTTCTCTTGAGGTGCAGGCTCCTTGGCTACAGAAGGAAGAGGCTGTTTGGCCCGAGAGGGAGGGAAGGATAGAAGGAAGGGGGTGGAGACTGGATGCAGTGGCTCATGCCTATAATCCCAGCACTCAGGGAGGCCAAGGAGTTCAAAACCAGCCTAGGCAACATAGTGAGACCCTATTGCTAAAAAAAAATTTTTTTTAAAAATTAGCCAGACATGGTAGCATGCACCTGTAGTACCAGTTACTCAGGAAGCTTAGTTGGGAGGATCCCTTGAGCCCAGGAAGTTGACTATGCAGTGAGCTGTGACTGTGCCACTGCACTCCTGCCTGGGCAACAGTATAAGATCCGACTCAAAAAAATAAAATAAAGGAAAGGGGTGGGGAGCAAGGTGGCCTGTGGCCCATGGCTCCTTAGGCACCTGGGAGTGTGGCACTCCCTACACAGCCTGCCTGGAGGAGGCCAAAGCATCAGCCGCACCACCAGCTCTGAAGGCAGTCTGCGCTGTGGTGGAGGCCCTGATAATCCCCATTCTGCTGTAGTAGCAGCCTGGAGACAGCAGGATCCTGCTGGGGCAGGGACGAGTGGGGAAGGACTAAGACCCCACATTCCCTGCATGCCAAGTTCAAGCCTAACCATGCAGACATCAGGCTTATGACAAGCTTGCCCACTGTCACTCTTATTGTTGAGGAAAGAATTTGGGCATTCTGGCTCTGACCCCACTGTCACACCTATGGGTAAGCTCCCATCCAGGGCCTGTGCTGTGACTTTCTGGGGTTGGGCCTGAGTCCCCAGGGCAGGCAGGTTATTACTAACCCTCCTCTCTACCCATCCAGCCCACCTGGAGAGGCAGCATGGGGTAGTGGTCAAGGGTGCTGCCTGACCTTGGGCACATTTCTGACTCTCTCTGAATCTTGGGCTCTATACGTGTAAAAGAGGAATGGACACAGTGCTTTTGTCCTAGGGTGGGTGAGAGGACCAGATGAATTAAAACGGTGGCTGGCCCAGGACACCCGATTGGGGGTCTGGTTTGTTGATGCTGTTATTGCTTGGCAAGCACCTGTATGCCCTGGCCCCGGGCCAGAGTGGGAAAGCCTTCAATTCCACAGCTGACCAGTCACAGCTGAGAGTGGGGCCAGGAAGGCCCTGGCCTGCCTGCAGTCTCTCTACAAGTCCAGATGGGGGGCTTTGCCCACTGATTTCCACAAAGGAGGTCTGGGGACCCCAAAATAGTTGGACATACCTCAGGTTTAAATCAGGGTCCTGTACCTAAAATGGGAGATTTTTCCTGAAGGGCTGATGTGATTCAGACTAAAAGGAAAACACTTCTGTGACATTTAGAAGCCAAAAATTTTTTTTTTTCAATTAAAGATATGGAGTACAGTTCAGGATTAGGTATACAAGTGGTCATCATACAGTTAAAATTTGGGCCTCCCTTTGGTCCCCACTTTGCCTGGTTTGAAATTAGGTACCCTTATTGATGTTGTGTCCCCCATACCACCCCCAGCCAAAGACTTTTAAAATACCTATTTGCAGTTGGGTAATATGGCTCAGCCTGTAATCCCAGCACTTTGGGAAGCCAAGGCAAGAGGATTGCCTGAGCCCGGGGCTTTGAGACCAGCCTGGGCAACTTGGTGAGATCTCGTCTCTACAATAAATCACAAAAAAAATAGATGGGGGTGGTGGCATGTGTCTGTAGTTCCAGCTGTTTGGAAAGCTGAGGCAGAAGGATCGTTTAAGCCCATCAGGCTGAGGCTGTGGCCATTGAGCGTGCTGCTGTACTCCAACCTGGGTGACAAGAGACTCCAACTCAATAATAATAATAATAATAATATTTACCAAGAAAAAAATCAGGCACACCGATGTCGTGGACATGGCTTTCCCAGGCTGAGCCATGGGGGTCCTAACAATGACAAGCATCCCTTAGCATACATGGTATACCAGACTCTGTATGAGCACACTTGGGAGCTGCCTCGCTCCATCCTCACAACCCTAGGTATGGGCACTGGGACCACTCCCATCCTACAGGGAGAACAACAAAAGCCCAAAGAGTTAAGCTGCCCAAGGGAGATCCCTGGGCCACTCTGCAGACTGTGGCCTTCAGCTCTGCCCAGACTGCCACAGGGCATCAAAGCAGTTCTATTTCACTGAGTTTGATCTTCCTACCTCTTTCCTCTGTGGCCCCCTGAAGGTCTTTATTGGTCACTCCTGCCTGGCAACTGAGAATGGGCAGCCTCTTCTCTGTGTAGGGCTTCCGGGAGCCCTCCAGTGAGCTGGTGGGCTCATTAAAGAAGTCCTGAGTTGAGCTGGAGTCTGAGAGTGCCACAGCTGTGCTGTCCTGGCTGCGATCTGTGGGAAGAAGGAGGGAGAGAGGGCAGGAACATGAACCCTCACCATCTCCAACATGGGGCCCTCCCCAGGGTAAGTCTCCCTGCTGTGGTCTGGGGACTGGCTTGCAGAGGAGATGGCTTAAGCACAGCCACTCTGACACTGTTGAGACCAACCCATCCCAGAGGCCACCAAGCCACTCACCAAAGGCACTAATCTCCATTGTCAACCCTCTTGAGGTTTCCCCAAACAGTGGTGTTCTGGTAAATGTTTAACAATTGGCTGGGGGGAGGGGGAGGGGAAGCCCTGGTTTATTACATTTACTGATTTCTGTGGTGTAACTATTCCCATCATGGACGATTTCAAGCTACTGATGCACTGTCACTGAACGTGTAGTTGGGAAGAGATGCACAGTAGCCACTATTATGTAGCAATTCTATCATATAACAGAAATAACTGAAATGGGAAAGAAGTCAGCAAAAAAATTTTAACCTATTGTTAAAAGCTAGATGTGGTCGAGAATGAATCTAGACTCTGGGAGTCACCAACACAACGGGAATTGAATTTGTACTTTACTGGGACCTCCACAGGTGCTCAAGAGAAAGACTGGGGTGGGACAGGGGAGGAGAGGGGAGGGGAGGGCATGGAAAATGAGGAAACCTTCCTGGGAGTGCAGGCCTGGAGGGTAGGAGTGGTTGCTGCTGTGGAAAAGGTATAAAACCTGCCTGGTCCCTTCCTTTCTGAATAACAAAAGCCTACAAGCAAGAAGGATGGGTAGGAAATCATCTAGGATCCAAACTTTAGAGGACCAAGATAATGGAGAACCACTTCTGTCCCCTACCCTAGGCTAGCAATCACCTATTAACAAACAAATCAGTCTACTACAGGGAAAGGGCAAGAGCATGGAGGAAATGCTCCCAGAGGTGCATATGAAGGCCCAAGGCTGAAGGTGGATCTGGAATGCTGAGAAAAACCTTGTGGCAAACTGGCTCTTTTGATAGCATGATAAGAATTGGAAGCCAGTGGTGCACTGAAGGTAACCATAACAACAACAAAACCCAACCCAACTTCTGACTTACCTAGCTCAACTTCCTTTACTAAAGGCACAGAAACACAAAAGGAAAGTCTATTTCAGGCATAAATATTATTAACTTCAATCTCTTCTATCCTACACATATCTGATCTTCAATGTAAAAACTGTAGCACACACACACATAAAAGAAAAAAGTACACTGTCAGGAGACAAATAATCAACAGGAGACTCACAGATGACCCAGTTGTTGGAACTTACCTGATGGGGAATTTAAAATAACTAAGATTAATATAATTCATGAATACAATTAGTATGTTAAAGGCTGTACTAGAAAAGCTGAACAACATGTATGAAAAGATGGGGAATTTCAGGAGTGAGATGTAAATTATAAGCAAGAGTCAAACAGAGAGACTAAAAATGAAAGCCACAGTAACAACAATGAAGAATGTCTTTGCCAGGCATCTCAGCCAACTTGGTACAGCTAAGGGGGGAGAAAATCGAAACTTGAAAACAGGTAAATAGAAACAGTCTCCAACTTCAGATGGTTTGACTTACAATTTTTTGACTTTACCATTGTTGAACCCAGGACTCTAATCCGAGAGAGAACACAAAGAGCCAGCTCCGATGCAAACACACAAGGGTCTTTATTCAGGCTCGAGTCTGGGCTCATGCATGAAGCCGGTGGCTTCAGGGACGAGAGCTCCGATCCAGTATGGCAAGCAGTTTTTATGCACAATTACAGAGGGAGGGGAAAGAACTTTAAACTTGATTTTACCTGATTGGGTAATTTCTCCTAATGGGTACAGGAACACTTGGTATTGGTAGGTGCCTTTCGTGGGCTGTAACCTGACTGCCTGTGATTGACAGAAACCCACTTAACCGGCAGAGTGGCATGTCAGATAAGTTAGGTTCATACAGTCACTGCATATAAAGTAACCTGAGCAACCTGGAGGTTACATTAGCCATTAAGTTTGCTGATTCACCCCAAGGAATGCTTAGGAAAGCTTGTTTGCTTAACATTTACATAACATAACATGGTCATTATGGGACAACAAAAGCCAAACTTAGCAAAGTTTTAAATATGAATGCTGCAAACACATACAGTGAATGTGGGGTAGAAATTCATATAGTACTAGTTCTGGGAATTTATAAAATATCGCAAACGTCTTATAGCAAGGCAGTTTTTATAAAAGTCTTTGATTCCCTCAGGTTTACATAGCACTGCGTGTAAATTAACTTTTGGCATGGAAGCCAGTGATTTAAATCGACAAAAAGCCCACCTAGAGAGCAGCTAGCGCCTCAGAGTCTACTGTGATAGCAAAGGAATGTCTGAAAGGGGCTTATCGCTTTAACATTAAGTCAGCATGGCAATTGGGACTGACAATGCTTAACCCAAGAGTTCTAAATACAAACACTACTTAAGACATTATATAACTATACAATCAGTCACTACCCAGCACTCAACATATGCCTAATTCTACGGGGTCTGAGGTAGGATTTAAAGTACTAAGATTTCATAAAGTACAATGAACATGAGGTAGGAATACACAAAATATATAGTAAACATGAGGTAGGGATATATGAAATATAGTGAACTAAACACTACTTTTACAGCAAGTATGGCTTTTTAAGTTTCTTGGTTTCTTGGGTCTCTCAATAGCATGCTCTTAACCTAAGTCTATTATTGTCCTCTCACCATGGTGTGAAAGTTTTATGCATTGAGTAGAAACCACACTTTAAATTTTGATTTTTTTACCTAGGCTAGTGATATGTGGTATAATACTCTTAAGATATTCAATACTTTATTATAAAATAGGTTTTGTGTAGATGATTTTGCCCAATTGCAGGCTGATTTAAATATTCTGAGCACATTCAGGATGGGCTAGGCTAAACTACAATGTTTGGTAGGTTTGGTGTATTCAATGTATTTCTGACTCAGGACATTTTCAACTCATGATGGCTTTGTCAGGACATAACACTGTAAAGTGAGGAGCATCTGTAATCCAAACTGAGAAAAAAAGAGTGGGCGGGGGTAATCAGAACAGAGCATCCAAATGATCTAATACATTCACTGGAGTCACAGAAGGAGATGAGGGACAAACAAGACAGAAGTATTTAAAGACATAATGACTGAGAATTTTCCAAAATTAATGAAAGACAAATTAACAAGAATCTCAGAGAACACCAAGCAGGGAAAAGACCCCTCCAAACACACTAAAAATAAAAAATAAAAACAAAAAAATCCCACCTAGGTACATCATTTTCAAACTGTCAAAAACAAAAGATATAGAGAAAATCTTGAAGGCAGTCAGAAAAAGACACGACACATATAGACGAACAAAGTTAAGAATTACAACAGACTTCTCATCAGAAACTATGCATATCAGACAATGTCTTTAAAGTGTGGAAAGCAAGTCAACTCAGAATTCTACACTCAATGAAAATACCTCTCAAAGGACAATACCTCTCAAAGGATACAGGAAAATAAAGGCTTTTCATACAAAAATGTAGAAGATTCATAACCAACACATCTGAGTTACAAGAAATGTGAAAGGTTGAATGAATATGAAACCAGATAGAAACTCGGATCTACGTAAAGAAATGAGGTTCCTGGCCAAGTGTGGTGGAAGACCAAAGCAAGAGAATCACTTGAGCGCAGGAGTTTGAGATCAGCCTAGGCAATACAGTAAAACTTGGTCTCTACAAAAAATTTTAAGAAAATTAATCAGGCGCGGTGGTGCATGTCTGTAGTTCCAACTACTCGGGAGACTGAGGTGGAAGGACTGCCTGAGACCAGGAGGTCAAGGCTGTGGTGAGCTGTGATTGTGCCACTGCACTCCAGCCAGGGTGACAGTGAGATCTCGACTCAAAAAAAAATGAGGTCCCTCAGAAGCAGTTAAAGATATTTTTTCATAACATAAAAGATATTTTTTCCTATCTTTAATTTTTCTAAAATATTTTTGCCTACTTTCTAAAGCAAAAACAGTAGCAATGTATTGTAGGCTTATAGTATACATAAAAGTAAAATGAATAAAAAAGTATAAAGGATGGTCAGCTTTTCCACTGCCTATGAAATAGTACAATATAATTTGAAGGCAGACTGGGATTATTAATTAAAGATGTATTTTGTTGGCAGTATTTTATTTTTTTGAGTTGAAGTCTCACTCTGTTGTCTAGGCTAGAGTGCAGTGGCACGCTTACCGCCACTACAGCCTCCACCTGCTGAGCTCAGGCAATCCTTCTACCTCAGCCTTCTAAGTAGTTGGAATTATAAGCACACACCACCATGCCCAGCTAATTTTTTGATTTATTGTAGACGAGGTCTCACCAAGTTCCCCAGGGTGGTCTCCAATCCCTGACCTCAGGCAATCCTTTCATCTCTGCCTTCCAAAGTGCTGGGATTACAGGCGTGGGCCACTGCGCCCGGCAACAAGTATATATATTTTAAATACTATAAATAATAAACCAATAATAGAGAAAATAGAATCATTAAAAAATAAATTTTGTTTTATCTTAAACTTTGTATATCTAAAGGTGAAGTTCAATGACCTAGGAATATAGAGAGCTTGCAAGGCATGGTGGCTCATACCTGTAATCCCAGCACTTTGGGGGGCCTAGGTGGGAGGAATGCTTGAGCCCAGGATTTGGAGACTAGCCTAGGCAATATAGCAAGACCTTGTCTCTATTAAAAAAAAAAAATTAGCAGAGCATGGTGATGCATGCCTGTAGTCTTAGCTACTTGGGAAGCTGAGGCAGAAGAATCACCTGAGTCCAGGAGGTCCAGGCTGTGGTGAGCTGTGATCATGCCCCTGCACTCCAGCCTGGGCAACAGTAAGACCCCAACTCAAAAGAAAACAGAGAGAGAGAGAGAGAAAGTGAGCTAAATTCAAGTTCCTCTTGTGCTTGTCACTAGTTGTGTGACCTTCAGCAAGTAAAGTCCCTCCACACCTAAAAATTGCAGCTACAATAATCTCAGAAATGTCCATGA